ATGGCAATGTTTTACATGATTGCACATATATAACCTATATCAGATTGCTTACCCATCTCAGGGAGGGAGGAGGGGAGAGAGGAAGGGATAGAATTTGGAACTAAAAAACAACAACAATTCAAATGTTGAAAATTGTTTTTAAATGTGATTGGAGAGAATTTTTTAAAAATTATAAAAAAAAAAAGCAGCAGAGGTGGGATTTGAACTGTCTCTAAATCCTGTCAGCTTTTCAGAAGTGGGATTTGAATCCAGGACTATTTCCAAGTCTGATAAACCATCAGTTAAGCTCCATTGCTTCTCTAAATTCTGGTAAGGAAGGGGGCGACTGATTTATAATTTTACCATCATTTTCCTGATTCTACCTTCAACAGGACAGTAAATGAGTGCTTGAGGCAAAATATGATGAAATAATCTTCAGTTAATTTAGTAAATTTTTACAGAGCCATCCTTAGTAGTTTGCCAAACAACAGAACTTTGATATCCTAGTTATTCTGTTGCAACCATATGTTCTTATTTCTAGTTCTTAGAAAAAAAGGAAGACAATAACTAGACATCCTAGTCACATAAGTATTGATGGAGATTGCTGGGAAAGGATTCCTTTGAATGGTTGGAGCTTATAAACCTTTGCAAAGGATTTCTCTGCTTTGAGAATGTGTTCATATCCCTTATATTTAACTGTATCATTTATACTGGTCTTAGGGGGACAGTCTTGTTGTCTGTTGGCTGATGATCAGCCTACCTAAATTTGGAGAAGCTCATCACAGATTAGTGGATGTTTTTAAAGGTTTCAAAGGGCAACTACCAAGTCATAGAGACTGATCTACCCTAGTAGGTAAAAGAAGTAACTACAGTGATGAAATCAATCTCCCTGAATTGTTGAATAAGTATTAATGATATCAAGTTCTTTGGAATCATCAAGAATGTCTAACTCTCTCTCTCTTTTTAAAGAATATCTACCTTTTGAAATGACTTTTGCTTAGAATCCAGATTTCCATGATGAATGTAAATGTTAGAGACATCTAATGTTAGGTATTAATTTAATAAATGTTAGAATAGGGCATTGTAGGATAAGGAGTAGGCTAAATTATCTTGATTCCTTTAAAAAAAATTAGACATCCTAGATACAAGATTTGTATGTGAGTGTGTGTGTGTGTGTCCTTGAAAAACAAAGGGGGGTAAATAACTACTGAAACTGACCATCCTCTAAAATATTCTTCTACAATTCATGTTTGATATTAAATTTAATGGAGGGGGTATAATTTGCTTTCTTCTAGGTATATGCTAAAAGAATTCAAATCTCATCTTGGTAATAAAGATGCATCCCAGAAACTTGGAGTACAGCCTGCATGCATAGGAAGAATGAAAGGAAGCATGGGGTAATGGAAAGAGAACTCAGTATGAAGTCAAATGACTGGGACATTAATCGACTGCTCCTTCCTACTTGTGTCATTTTGAAAAGTCAGCTCATTTCTCTGGGTATTAGTTCCCTCTTCTACACAACAGGAAACTGAACTGGGTGATCTCAGAGATAACTTTTGGTTTCTTAATTCTAAGATCCTAGTGGGCTAAAAGATGTAGTTTTGTGGCATCTAGATTATTAAGAAAGAACTCTACCCTAAATCCTTTACCCCCTTTCCCTAAAACCTTCCTTCTCCTTGACACCAACAAAACTGATGACCTAGCATCTAGAACAAGGAGGGGGAACCTGCAGCCCCGAGGCCACATGTGGCCCTTAATTAAAGGTTTTATTATACAAAACTTGGACTCAGTCAAAAGGCTGCATCCAACAACCTAGAAAGCAGGTTCCCCACCCCTGGTCTAGAGTTTAGAGACTGACCTTAACTGCAATCATTTTTCTAGATGGTGAATTTTAGGCTCAAGGTAACCATCTAGTGCAGCCAGGCAAATTCTTTTAGCATGTGAAAGAAATTAGAGATAATTTAAAAGTAATCAAAAGTAAGAATTTGAGTTAAAATTAAAACTATAACCTAAGAGTACTAGCACTGCAGTTAGAATAACAGAATTTTAAAGCCAGAAGTGACTTTATAGAGTGCCTACTTTAAGCAATCTATATTTATTCCAACTTCTCACATTTACATAAAATGATCTGGAGAGCCACCAAAGTTGTTACCCATCTAAGTTACACTTAGTAGAAGAGCCTAGGTCTTTTCACATAATTCCCCTGGGCCTCAGATTCCTAATCTGAAAAATGAGACATTCTAGTAATCCACACTGCCTTTTAAACTCATGACATTTAGTTTATCACCTGAAGCATTAATGCTGGCCTGGGGGAGCAGGCTATATGTTTGTCCTTGGTAAATATAAGAAAGCTGAGTGAAAATTTGAATGCAAAAATATATTGTCATGGAAGAAGCAGTACATTTCAGCGGAGAGAGTTCTGGACATGGGTATCAGATATAAATTTGAATCCCAGCTCTCACAGTAGACTATGACCCTAGTCAGGTGACTGAAATTCTCTGTCTCACTTTTCTCCTCTATCAAATAACATGGTACTACCCACTTCATAGGGTTGTTATTAAATAAAAGTTTTGTAAATGTGTTATAACACACTGTACATTTGTGAATTGTCATCATTATCATTATCATCATCATCATCACTATAGTTAAGGCAATTTATAATGTTGATCTGGTGGTAATGCTACATATCTCAATAGCTTACAGTTTGTACCTTCTAATATCACATTGCAGAAAAAAAGGAGGATCATTTAAATATTCTGCCTCTAGTAATGTCTGGCAATTTAACAGAACTGGTGACAAATTATTTAAAATTACAAGATATCCATTCCACCTAATCTGAAAGTCAATAAGAAAATATAAAGCACAAATATAAATCATAGAAATAGCAAGTAACTTATTCAATCATTTATCTAACCTTCTAATTTTCTAGATTAGGGAACTGAGGCTCAAAAAAGGGAATTCACTTGCTAAAGGTGACACAAATGATAAGTAGCAGAACTAGGATTCCAACCCAAGTCCTCTGGCACCAAAACTGGATTTCCACTTGTGTATTCCGTCACTCGAATCCCCTCTTCTAACTCCAAAGCTAGCTCTTTCCACCACACCACACTAGAAGGACAATTGAAGTGGCAGAAACTGGACCATTATGGGCCTAGTTTATGTACAAAACACTCTAAGGCAGAAAAAAAAAAGACAGGTTTTTTTTTTTCTATTCAGAACAGGGCTAACTATTTGTGTGGGTACAACCTTATGTGACTTTACAAAACTATTTTAAAGAGGGGCAGCATTTGGATAAATAGGTTCCAAATATCCAGAAATAAAAAGGAGATATTGGATTAAATAGTATGGGGGAGGGAGCAATTTCCAGGTGCCACTTGCAAATTCTCTTCCCTCCTCCTAGTTTCCCAATCTGGAGTCCAAGACTTTCATCTCTGCCTAAGACCAACCCTAATTATATAACTTGGCCCTTGCAAAGGAAAAAAAAGGATCCCCATATTTTTCAAAGCTGAAGAAGGACCCCTTTGAAAAGCATTCTTTTATTTCCTACGACCTCACTCTTTTATCAGATAAACCAAGTATAAAGAAGAAGGGAATTAGTGTTCATAGTTTAACCCTGTAGTAAATAAATGTTCATAGTCTATTTAGAGTCAAGAGACTGCTCCCCCCCAGAACTAGCTTAACAGGTAAAGCCAGAATATTTTGTTAAAAGAAACTGTGGCTGTATCTGGAGTTTCTGAGATGTGAGATTGTTGATACTGCTATCTATTTAAATGGATAAGAAAACTGAATATTTTACAAGCCCTAAGGCATTCCTCTGATTTTCTTTGACCATCCAGACAATGTAACTACAAGGATTTTTTTTAATTCCAGAAGAGTAAATAAATATTGAAGTTGAATATACTTTAAAACCCTATTCTACACTTCCTGCTTTATGTTAAGCTTAATGGGGTGCAATTTGCTTTGTTCCTGCTGTATGAAAACAGAATTCAAATCCCATCTTGGAAACAAAGGTGCTTCCCTGGAGCTTGGCCGACAGCCTGCATACCAAGAGTGGTAACCAGGCAACGGGGAAAGATCAGAGCCTCACCCATGATGCATCAGCCTTACAACAATTCTTGCCACGTAGGCAGGAGTGTGCAGGGTAATGGAAAATTACTGCAGGGTTTTTCTTAAAGGGGCAAAGTACCTTCTTTACTAGAAGCTTCTGAGTGATTCTGGTCTCTATTCAAATCAACTAGAAACCTAAATCTGAAAGGTCCTCTTCATTTTACTTCCCTAGAGGAAGTCAAATTTATCCTTCAGTCAATTTCCAAATCATTATAAACCTATGAAATGGGCAAATAATGTTTAAATGGATTTATAAAAGTCTTCCCTACATAAAATAGAAATGCTAAAACATTGGTTCTGACAGGAAAAAAAAAGGAAACTACTGAATCTATGAGGGGGACAAATAAACAGTTTCATGTACAATGTCATATTTACTGTCCTGCAACAGTTACCATAAATGTGTGCTGAAGTTATAATGACACATTTCTGACAAATCTGCAAGTGCTGCTTAATAAAAATGCCAAAAGAAGCCTGGCAAAGCACAGAGGATTGACTGTTGCTAAAAAACTGATTCACTGATCATCAGTGTATGTCTAGAAGTAGATAAGAATCAGAAATAATTTAGTGTTTCATCCTAAATATTTTCAATTATCTTCTATTTATAAAGAAAGATTCTAAGAATGAGATTTTCTTGCCCCTAAAGATTAAGAGCTATTCTAGTTTCTATTTAAGGTAGGTTTTATTGGCGGCTGAATAGTTCTTAAAGAATACACACACACACACACGTACGTATATTCTCTTGGTTTCTGGGGCTATATTATATTACAGATCTGTAAGGTAAACTTTCCCTTTACCAAACAATACTTAATATAAGCCGCACTTGAAGCAATCAGATTTAGAGAAATACTGGTTTTTGTACGTAGAAACCTCTGCTTATTTTACTTCTGCATCAGTTTTTTCTGCCGTGTTATCCGCTTGCACAACATTAAAGAGAATGGTTAGTTCCTGTGTGTTCTCTCTCTCGACTTGGAGGTCAGTGCTTAGGCTTGGGAGTCTGGGAGGTTGCCCCCCCCCTTTTCTCTTTTTTTCTATTATCAATGTCTTTTAAGACGGAAACATCTATTCACTCTCAGCAGAGTTAGAGGGTCCATTATACATCATTACCGGTCCTAGGATAGACTTTTCGATTGTATGCAGGTATTATGTTTCTGTTGTAATCTTAGGGCAAGTCAATATTCTTCTCTAGAAACTAAGCCCTAAAATCTTCCCACCTCGAAACTTTTCTACTTTGTGCTTTCCTTGGCTAAATTACGGCTTGACTTGTCCTTCGGTTTGCCTCTCTCGTTTTAAAAAAAAAGTCATTCCCTAACTTCCTAATGACCTGTTTTCAGTGCTTTACAAGTTTTGTTCTTTTCCTATTCATTGAGCTGCTCAAGTGTTTGAAAAGGACACAAAGTAGTTTGAGTCTAACTAGCTGAATCAGCCTTTTGCCTGTGTTTTGGTGTTACTGTCAGAGGCTTACATTTGAAAACCCTTTTTTCCGTCGAGACCCGGGACTTTTAACCTGTTTTTATGTCACAGACTCTTTTGGCAGTCTGGTGAAGCCTATGGGCCCCTTCTTGGAATAATGTTCCAAAATACATTAAAATGAAATACCAAGGCTTATAAAGACAATAAATTAGATTGAAATGCAGTTATCAAAATTGAAAAACAAACAAACAAAAACCCTAAGTTTACAGATCCCAAGCTAAGAATCCTTGGTTTAAGCTATGGGAAGAATAACTAAATAAAAATCGGAGGTGCTCTTAGTTTAGAGTTGTCCTCCATTTTAATGCTGCAAGGAAACGTGATTATTTTCTTGGCCACGCTACTTTCTAAACAAATATATACGGTAACTGCGGTAGCTGCCTTCTTCACTTCAGAAGTAATCATGTACCACTGCTTGGATGCTGAAATCTGAAGCTGCCCCTATCAGATTGGATGCAATTTCTAACAATTGTTTTGGAAGCTCTGAGGAGAAATTATAGCCCATAATAACACAAAATGGCTGCCACAGGGAACCCTCTAGAAGAACCTGGAAGCCTGCTGTCTAGATAGCAGCTGGTCACTTGCATGGGGTGGCTATTCTTAACAATATCACAGTACTTCATTATTTATGATCGAGGAACTTTGGTGTCTGCCTTTTGTGGTACCACATTACTGTATTCTAGGGATGTTTTTCAGGTTCTGCAAGGCATATAGCAGGAGGATAGGTCTTTGGGTGGAAAGAATAATCTGACTTTCTAGACAAAGCTCCAGCTCTATTGGCAGATGCCAAAGAGGATGAGCAACAATAAATGCTGATTTCATATTTAAAAATAGCAAATGGGGAAATTGAGGGAGGAAACAAAGGAGAGACTAATTTGTATGTCAATAAGAATTTTATTCTCAAGATGTTTTGTTCCTAATTGAAAATGATGAGGGGATAAGAAGTAGATATAAGGGTCTGACCAGAGGGCAGAGGGAGCAAAATGACTTCAAGATACAGTTTTGGTGGTTTGGCCTTTGAGTATAATATGGTGGTGGTGGTGGTGGTGATGAGGTACTCGGGCCCCAGCCCTAAGATCTTATCTCTGGAAGCCTCCCAATTTCTCAGTAGGCCCCTATCCTAAAGAATTTTCTCTTGTTGCAGAACACATTCTCTTATCAGAACAGACAGAGGGGTACCTGGCCCAAGGATTTTTCTCCCCGGCTGGCCCAAGGACTCTCCCTCCTGCCAGATCCCCATGGTCCATGCCTCTGACAACTCCCTCAGTGTCTGGTATCAACAAAGTTATCTCTGCAAAACTCCCTACATTTTCCCATCCATAGCTCCTAAAGACACCTGCACCCCTAGATTACCTAATTAGAATCCTTGGCATCCTTGCCCTTGTCCCTTTTCCATATAAGCCCCCAGCACCATCCTCACTATCTCTAAGGTTCCCTAAGGACCCTTGCCCGCTTTTACTAAAGTGTTACAATAAACTTTTTGCCACTTGACTAAGAGAAGGCTTGAGTGTGTGAATTCATTCCAGGCAATTCTGCCTTGGCATTCTTGGGGTCCCAGCACCCCCAAATATCATCAGTGGTGGTGGTGGTGGTGGTAGTAGTGGTAGTTAGTAATACTAATAATAATAGCTAACATTTATATATCACTAGTATGTGCCAGGCACTGTGCAAAACATTTAACAATTTACTATGTCATCTTATTTTTACAACAACCCTGGGAGGTAGGTGCTATTATTATCCCCATTTTGCAGGTGAGAAAACTGAGGCAAACAGAGGTTGGGCGTCTTGCCCAGGGTCACACAGCTAGTTGGTATCTGAGGCCAGATATGAACTCAGGCCCAGGGCTCTATCCATTGCACCATGTAGCTACTCATAACTGGCCCTGTTTGAGATATGTCTGTAACACTGTGTACATGAATTCTTAGGTTTCCTCTACTCAGAATAGGGGGATAAACAAAGCTCTGAAGTCTTTCATTTTAAGTACTAAACAAAGACTGAACTGTGGTGAACTGAATAGAGGATAGTAAAGTGCAGTCAAGTCAGGGAAAAGTACCATTCCCAGACCCATAGAATGTTGGAGGTGGGAGGGACCTTAGCAATCACCTAGTGTAAATCCCCTCATTTTGCCAAGTTGGAAACTGAGGTCCAAAAAAGTGAGAATGATAAATCTGAGTACCAAGACTGTGTTCAGCATTGTGCAATGTATTGAAAAGAATATATAAGGCTTGGGGCAGAAGAGGTGGCACGGTGGATACAACTCTGGCCTTGGAGTCAGGAGGACTGGAGTTCAAATCTGACCTCAGACACTTGATACTTACTAGCTGTGTGACCATGGGCAAATCACTTAACCCCAATTGCCTCACCAAAAAAGAAACAAACAAAAAAAGGATATATAAGGCTCTTGGTCCTGAAATATTTAGAATCTTGGTGGAAAGACAAGCTGAATACATGAGAGGGTTTTTTTGTTTGTTTTTTATGATTTCATTCATAGACTCCTGTTTGGCATTTAAGCCCTTCTTGATCTGGCTCCAGCCTATCTTTCCAGGCTGGACATCATTCCCCCCTCATGCACTCTATCACTCTAGTGGCAACTAAATTGGTTTATTTCATTGTCCCCTATAAATGACATTGTCTTCCACTTCCTTCCCTGGCTTTGCTCTTTCTTTTCACCTTTACCTTTTGGAATCCTTAGCCCCCTTCAAGGCTCTCTTCCCTCCATACCTCCCTCCATCTAATCTGTTGTCTAGTCCTGTTGATATTATCTTTGTAACATATATATGCTCCTATTTGTCCTCTGACTCTGCCACCACCCTGGTGCAGGCCCTTATGACCTAATACCAGGACTATGGCAATAGGTTGCTGGTTGGTCTTCCTGCCTCATGTCTCTCCCCATTACAGTCCATCCTCCAACCAGATGTCAAAGCCATCTTCCTAAAGTGAAAGTCTGACCCCAACACCCCCTACTCATTTAACATCCAGTACCTCTCTACCACTTTCAAGATCAAATATAAAATTCATTGTTTGGCATTCAACACCCTTCATATTCTCCTTTCCCCTCCTCGCCTTCCTGGTTTTCTTATACTTTATTTGCCCCATGTATTCTCTAATCCAGTGACATTTTCCTCCTTGCTATTTTGTGAACAGGACACTCCTTGGCTGTGAATTTTCATTGGCTGTCTTCCATGTCATTCTCTCCCTCCTAATCTTGCATCCTGGCTTCCCTGACTTTCTTCAAGTCTCAGCTAAAATTCCATCTTTTGCAAGAAGCCTTTCCTGATCTCTCTTTAAGCTAGCGTCTTCTCTTTTTTGATTATGTCCATTTTATTCTCTATATATCTTGTCTTCATGTTGTGGCTGCATTAGACTTTGAGAGGTTCAGTTGTTTCAGTTGTGTTTAACTCTGTGACCCAGTTTGGGGTTTTCTTGACAAAGATACTGGAGTGGTTTTCCATTTCCCTCCAGCTCATTTTACAGATGAGGAAACTGAGGCAAACAAGGTTAAGTGACTTGCCCAGCTAGTAAATGGCCAAGGCCAGATTTGAACTCAGGAAGAAGAGTCTTCAGGAATATGACTTCAGGCCAGGCATTATCCAATGTGCCACCTAGCTGCCCTCCTTGAGAGGAGGGACTGTCTTTTACCTTTCTTTGTGTCCCTAGTGTTTGAGACACATACTAGGCACTTAATTAATGTTTATTGATTGGTTGTTCTGGATTCCCCCACTTGTTAATGTTCCCACAATCACTTTGTATTTATTTTTATACATCAATATTTACTTATCTACGAGTATTTTCTATCCCCACCTCCAGTAGAACATAAGCTTCTTGAGGATGGCAGGGGTCTCATTTTTGTAATTTTATCTCCATCTTTGTAGACACTAAATAAATGTTTGTTGATTGACTTTTCTATTGGATTCTTCTCTAGCAGAGGAAGAGAAGGTATACCCTTAGGGTATTTATACAAAGTTTATGCAGGAGAAAGATTAGATGGCCTATGTAACAGAGAGTAGATACCCCTTCTAGATGAAGCCAGTAGGGCCTCTTTTTGACTCCAGTGCAAGCCTGAGTGAATGAATTTGGGAGGTTCCCGATCTTTTCATGTCTGAACCTGGGAGTGGCAATGCAGTATTTTCAAAGGCACTTGAGTTATAAAATTCTTTTACCTCTCATACTTCCTTAGTAAGAGGCAGATTTTAAAAATCAACTCCTAGGAGATAAGCTTCTAAGAGTTGGAGCTTTCAAAGCTGTTCAAAGTCTATTGTCACTGAAAAGGACTGAAACATAAAATATTCATCCCATTTGCTGCTTTGGATACCAGCTATTTAATCTGAAAGATAAAACAAAAACCTAGAGCTGTTTTCAAACTATCAAAGTGAGTCTTTGATAACATGGTTTCTAATCTCTGATGTCAATCCTGGTGAAGCTTAGAAAAACCCATTACAATGCAAGATATACTAAATTTATATCAGTGTTACATATTTTGGAAACTCTAGCAAAGGTTTGTTTTAAGTTTTTGAGCTGAATAAAAACAGCTGAACAGGATAAGAATGATTTCCTTAAAGAACACAATTCCAGGTCTCCAACAGCTGTCATACAATTCTTAAAAGTTCAAGTTCAATTAAGCTAACTATCTAGACTAGTGGTGTGATTCTTCATTCTTTGTTGTTGTTATTCAGTTGTTTCCTTCGTGTCCAACTCTTTTTGACCCCATTTGGGATTTTCTTGGCAAAGATACTGGAGTGGTTTACCATTTCCTTCTCCAGCTCATGTTACAGATGAGGAAACTGAGGCAAACAGGGTTCCAGGGTCAAACAGCCAGTAAGTGTCTGAGGCCACATTTGAACTCAGAAAGATAAGCCTTCCTGACAACAGGTCCAGCCTTCTACCTACTGTGCCACTTAGTTGCCCCTACTTCCTTCTAAAGAAGGCTAAAAGAGATTGTCCAAAATGTAGCGGACAAGCCAGAACTGGTCTTACCAAAGGAAAGACGATAGTTACGTGCTAACTGCTTTAGCTTGGGACTCTTTTAGGATGAGAATGTCATGTTGTTATATTTTGATACATTTTGGCAACCCTCCAGTCTATTTTATTCCCCTTGAGTATTCAGTCAGGTTTAGTATACTTTAAGAAATCATTTGTAGCAGTAGTGATCTTAAATTAGCAAATAGTTGCTAAACAATAGGTAATAAAGAGATACTCATTAATTGGGGAATGGCTGAAAAAATATGATATGTGAATTGTGATGTAATACTATTGTGCCATAAGAAATGATAAAAAGGATTATTTCAGAGAAACTTGGGAAAAAATATATGAAATGAGTAGAAACAGAACTATTTCTACTATAACAATATTGTAAAGAAAATAAATTTTGAAAGACTTATCAATGAAATGGCCAACCACAATTCTAGAGGACCAATGACAAAACATTTCACTTGACATCTGACAGAAAGATGGGAGACTGGAGGCCTAGATTGAAATATGCATTTTGGACATGGATGATGTGTGGATTTGTTTTGCTTACTTTAGGAGGTAGAGGGAGACTAGTGACAGTGATGCCAAAAAAAAAAAAAAAGAGGGTAATAGAGCATTTTAAAAATACACAGAAGAAAACAGAAGGAGGTTTAGTAGGAAACAAAGACAAAAATGACAGCTTTGAAACTTGTATGTTGAATTTTGAAAATGCAAATTGTACATGATGGATTCAGAGCTTCGGTCTTTTTCTATTCTGTATATGTGGAAACATTCATTTGTTAATGTTTTTCAAGTTCAGAATAACAAAAAACTTTTTTTAAGTTGTAACAGTAATTTCGGGTCAATTTTGGGATCAACTAAGTATGTTGAGGCAACCTAAACAGTGGATAGAGAGCCAGCACTGGAATTGTACCTGTGTTGAAATCTCATCTCTGACATGTACTAGCAGGGTGACATTGGGTAAGTCACTTAACTTCCTAGTTCTATAGATAATTCTCTAAAAGGATAAATTGCAGAAAAATTGCATATTTAAGTTGGCATTTGGAATTTCTTTAATGGTAGTTTTCTCTATTGATGAAATCACAGGTCAGAACAAAAAAAAATACATTAACCAGTTTTCTGGTTGGTCCTCACTAGGTCATGGAGGAAACCTTAGAGTTGTCCTATTTTTTTCTCTTCAACAATGTCACTCTTCCCATTCATGTTAGTAAAATTATATCAGCATCTCCATACTAATTTTTTTTAGGTGTCAAAAATAGCTATCAAATTATTCTCAAGCATGAAAAAATGTATTTAGAGTTATTTGACTGGTAGTGGAATTATTTCATCAGTTTTAACAATTAGATTGTGGAAGCTACAGTAGGGTTTGTAAGTCAGACAACAGCAGTATTAAGCTCCTACTATGTGCTTGGCACTATACACCGTTTGTATAGTGTTATGCAATTTGGAAATATACTCTATAATAAAATGTATTTTGTTTATCACATATCAGACTGGGGCATTGTGCTAAATAAAAAAGTAAAGACTTTTTTGTTAAATTTTTAAAAGTTAAAGGAATTTTTGTGGGATTATACTTTTAAATTTATTGACTAAATGTTAATTCCTAGCTAAAATATTTATTATACACAGATTTGAGAACATAAGATCAAGTAGAATATTCTTTATTGTGCACAAGCAAAACCAAAGAATGCAGAGGCTCAAAAGCAAGAAGGATGAGATTTGGATAGGGCTATAATAAAAAAGTTCTGGCAGGAAAGAGTTTTAATAAATATAATAGGCAGCATTGTTAGCCCTATAGTACCCAAAATCAGAAATAGTTTAACTTGGGAAAAATATGGATGAAGACGCAATCAAAAGTGCTTGTGTTTCTGTGCTTTAGTTGAACATGAAGAAAAACTTCCCAGGTGTTTTAGCCAAAATTAAGTAAAAGCTAAGGCACCCATGACTAAAGAAGATAGTCAGGGATGACATAAGGACAATAAAGGGTAGGTTCCTTGCTAGACAATAGTTTGAAGACATTAAGTTATCTTCCTTGTTGGGGGAAGGGAACATCTTTGACCACCCTAGGTGGACTTCCCTTTTTGTAAATACGGTCCTGACCTTTGACACATAATGGATGGAGTTTTACATGGGACCTTAAAAGAGAAAGATAATAAAGGAGAAGGGGAATTTTCTAAGCTCCTTGCTTTTGGGTCAAAGACCTATGTTTTAGACTTCTGAAAAGTCTTCATTTATCTAATTCTGTTCACATGATAGTTTTATTGTCTGCCAGGGAAAAGAAGAGCTATGTAGTTTTGATTGTGGCATAGGAGTTAAAAATACCTATTGGAGGGTGGGAACCAAAGACACTCCTTTTAAACTTAGCCCCCTGAAAAAAGTCTTTGAGAAAAAGCATCATTCTCTCCATGTGGCTTTGTCATTTTATAGCCTCTTTCATCTTGGAACCTCACTGTATTTTTGTAAACAGTCATTAATTAAAGCTCAGGAAACCTCTGAGAAACAGGTTGAACACTGGGCAATCATAGATTATTTCATTGACTTGCCTAAGGTCTCACCAGTGAGTAGGCAGGAACCTAAACAGACTTACAGAAAGAGAAAGCCTTGGCTGTTAGCTCCAGTTCTAACTACATTCAATACCACAAACATATATCCAATCTGCAGCATTTCTTTTATTCCAGACACACCACTGCAGTTAGAACAATCTGGTTTATTGAAACTTTCATACTGATTGATTCTACTGTTTCACAAATTCCAGCTATTCCCCTACCTAAAAGGTTGAGAGCAATGAAAATAGGGGTGGGAAAAATTCTCAGGCTATCATCAATGGACACATTCTTCCTACTCCATTCACAGAGCAGGAATTTGGCACACAAGCCACAGAGAGCAGCTTTGATTTTGGTTAATGCCACATTAACATGGACCCTAGATTAATTTTGCCTTTGCTCATTTTATTTATGTGGCTGAGGCAGGTTTATATTTTCTGCTTAAAATAATTTATGTCACAGCTCTGACATTTCTGGAACCTACCTTTATTTTGGGAGTGAATTAAAACCAATGACTGTCAAAGTCTGGTTCCTAAATCTAGCCCTGCTTATTAAGAGACAAACTTAATAAAAAAACAAACCCAAAAAACCGCCTTTTACTCTCGTGAACATAATAGGAGTACTTAACCCATTTGAAACTCAAAATATTATTTCTAACTCTATCTTATGTCAGTATCTACTTGAAGGAATTAATCTACATATTGGAAATGTGGTTATTAACCTTCAGTAGAAAAGTATGTATTACATCTATAATGTAACTAAAATTGCACGAAAGAGAAAAAAGGCATGCTTTTGATCCACATAGGAACTATATGCCAGCTCTGTTCATTGGTGAATGGATCCCTGCCCCCTCAGTTGCAGGATAAAAACCCCAGGATAGATGCATTAGTCAGTGGTGTTTCTATAGAAGTGGTAGGAAGCAGTAATAAAAGGAAAAAGGAAAGGATCCTGATTAGGAGGAAGGGAGAGAGATATAAAATATAAGGCACAGGAAACCAAGTTCATGAAGCACTTTTTTCCTGGGGTGGAACAGAGGCTAGGTCAAGTGTGGGCTGGCCAGAGACGACAGCTCCAGGGGCTACATGTTACATAGAGAATTAACTGGTGAACCCGAGTGGGTGGCAGGACTGAGAAAGGCTAAGGGCTATGTTTAATAAAAGGTTACAAACGAGACTTCCTCAGCTACTCATCACTCCATTATCTGTCCAATTCACTCGCCCTCCCTTCTCGCTCTCATTTTATACAGCATGTCGTCCTTTGAAAAAAGCTTCACGAAGACAGGGTTATTTTACAGAATCTGCATTGCCTCTATAAGCATTGGCTACTTAAGAGAAATCCCGATAATAATAACAACTGGGCTAGACGGAAATGGTAGGTTTTTGTTTTTGTTTTCCTCTTCTTGCCTCCTCCCAAGGGTAACAGACGCCATTCTTCCCCTTCTTCTCCTTCCCAGCCCAGGTCATGTGACCTGTTGCTGGGGAAAAGATCGTTCTGCAGCAACCCGTGAGGGAACTCTGGAAAGAGACGAGCTGCTGCCCCCTAGTGTCTGGAACTCGTGCAGTTTGCTGCATTACGCACTTCCTTTCCTTGTGCCCTCTGTAAAACACCCACACCCACACGCACGCATGCACGCGCGCATGTACACGTGGAACCCCCCAGCCCCCCTCCTTCCCAACGGCATTCCAAGACACATTTTCTTTTACAATTTTTAATTTATTTTTAACATTCATTTTTTTCACTTAATTGTATTTTATTTTTTCCAATTACATATAGAGATAGTTTTCAACATTCATTTTTATAGATTTTTGAGTTCCAAATTTTTCTCCCTCCCTCTCTCCCCTCCCCCCTCCCAAAGACCGCTAGCAATCTGATATAGGTTATACGGGTACAATCATGTTTAACATTCATTTTAAAAACATTTTTGAGTTTCAAATTACCTTCCTCAAGCCCCTCCCCCACCCATTGAGAAGACTAGCAATATATCAATTATACATGTGAAATCATACAAAACATATTTCTCTATTAGCCATGTTGCAAACATAAAAGCAAGAAAAATAAAGAAATTGAAAAAATTTCACTTTAATTTGCACTCAGAGTTCATCAGTTTTCTCACTGGAGGTGGATAGCATTTTTCATCATGACTCCTTCCTAATTGTCTTGGATCATTGTATTGATCAGAGTTGCTAAGTCTTTCACAGTTGATCGTTGTTACACTATTGCTGTTAATTGTATACAATGATCTGGGTCTGCTCACTTCATTCTGCATCAGTTTATACAGGTCTTTCCAGGTTTTTCTGAAACTATCCCCCTTGTCATTTGATATATACACACATACATATGAAACACAATATGTATATATAAGAATTCATTAAATATTTCCCAATTACATGTTAAAAAATTAATATTCATTTTTAGAAATGAGTTCCAAATTCTCTCACTTCCTCTAGCCTTTCCTTCACCTATTCAGAAGGCAAGTGATATGATATTGATTCTACACGTGATCATGCAAAACATGTTTCCATATTAGCTATGTTGCAAAACAAAACACACACACAAACTAAAAAAAAAAATAAAGTAAAAAAACTATGCTTCAATCTATATTCAGAGTTCATCAGTTCTCTCTCTGGAGGTAGATAGCATTTTTCATTATGGGTCCTTTGGAATTGTCTTGAATCATTGTTTTGATCAGACTAGCTAAGTTTTTCATGGTTGATTAGTATCTCTACAATACTGCTGTTACTGTGTACAATCTTCTCCTGGTTCTGCTCACTTCACTTTGTATCAATTCATTTAAGTCTTCCCAGGTTTTTCTGAAACCATCCTGCTCATGGTTTTTATAGTACAATAGTATTCCATCACAATCTCATACCACAACTTGTTTAGCCAGTCTCCAATTGATGGGCGTCCCCTCAATTTCTGATTCCTTAACACCACAAAAAGAGTTGTTACAAATATTTTTGTATATATAGGTCCTTTTCCTTTTTATTTGATCTCTTTGAGATACAGATTTACTAGTAGTATTGCTGGGTCAAAGGGTATGCACAGTTTAATAGTCCTTTGGGTATAGTTCCAAATTGTTTTCTGGAATGGTTGGACCAGTTCACAACTTCACCAACAGTGCATAAGTGTCTCTATTTTCCCACATACCCTCTAGCATGTGTTATTTTCCTTTTCCGTCAGTTAGCCAATCTGATAGGTGTGAGATGTTGCCTCAGACTTGTTTTAATGAGCACTTCTCTAATCCCTCGTGATTTTGAGCATTTTTTTCCCATATGATTATAGAAAGCATTGATTTCTTCTTCTGAGAACTGTCTATTCATATCCTTTGATAATTTCTCAATTGGGAAATGGCTCTTTTTAAAACAATTGACTCAGTTCCCTATATATTTGAGAAATGAGACCTTTATGAAAGAAATTTGTTGTAAAAAAAATCTTCGGTTTCCTTCTAATTTTGAATGAATTGATTTTATTTGTGTAAAACCTTTTTAATTTCATGTCATCAAAATTAGGGCAGCTAGGTAGCACAGTGGATAGAAAGCCAGGCCTGGAGTCAGGAAGACCTAAGTTCAAATTCAGCTTCAGACAATTACTAGCTGTGTCACTCTGAGGAAGTCACTTAATCTTGTTTGCTTAGTTTTTTCATCTGTAAAATGAGCTGGAGAAGGAAATGGAAAACCATTCCAGTATCATTACCAAGAAAACTCCAAATGGGATCATAAAGAGTTGTACATGGCTGAACAACAACAACAAAAATCTAAATTGTCCATTTTACTCCCCATGATCCTCTCTATAAGAAACAGAATTTTTTTAATAAACCCATTTCATTTGTAGAAGTTTTTCATTTTTTCCGGTAAAGAGTAAAACATTCAATCCCATTTATTTTTCATGCACTCTTTTCCCTGGGTGGTAAAATAGCTGTATTTGTAGTAATCAGCTGAAGACATCTCAGACCTATAGCATTTCAATTATGCAGTGGTATTTTGAGTGTCTTTAATTACTAATGTTATTTGGTGGGCTTTAAAAAACTGCTGCCCTACTTCTCAAGTATTGGATAATGACCATGGCTAATACTCTGTAACGTTTTCTTATATAGTTACTGCTATGTGTTTCTCATGGTGGTTAATAGCCGCTATAAAATAACAATGAAATGAAACATAATGATGATATCCATCATCAAAGGTGTAGTGTTGTGTAATTAATTGAAAACTCTAGAATAATTTGAACTCTTCCAACAATCAGTCAGATGCTCTATATCATGAGTTCTTGAGGAAGGCCTCGAGCACATTGGGGACAGCCCCTGTGGAGGATTTACCAGAGGACAAGGATTAGGATTGCACAAGATGGTCAGGTATAGATGGATTGCAATCCGTGTCATTGAATGGAGTATCCACATTGATGAGATTATGGCTTTGTACAAAAATATAGGACTTCTTCATTATTTGTAATTTATTCTTATAAATTGGTGTGAAATACAGCTAGGTAGGTCCTGATTAGTATGAATAATGAATTCCCCTAAGTGATCATGTATATTCCAATTTTTATTATTTGAAGTTATAATTATGTAAAATATGGTAATTGGTTCCAGCCCAATGGAAGAATGTAGTGCAAATCTGAATAATTTGACCACTTCACAGGATTCATTATTTATCCTAATTGGACAGTACTATAAAATTTTTTATTAGTAACATGTGTTTTTTTAAAAACATTTATTTTATATTTGAAATGTACTATCATACTCCAATGGATCTATAATCTCATTGATTCAGGTTTTCCCTCCAACAATGCACATCACCACCTATCCATACTTGTTTATTTTAGTTAATTTTTATTTGTATCTTTCCACAAGTTCACAACACAAGGTGTTAACCCCATGATCCAGTGGCCTCATTCCCTTTTTCTTGATCTGATGAGAATGTCAGTAAAGGGCATGGCCAATGCATCAGTTCCTTATTCTTGCTCCATTTTCTTTTAAAATTATACATTTCTTTGATGATATCCTTTAAACTGCTTCTCCTTGTTTATTGTAATAGGAAACATATCATTTTAATGACACCATCCTTCTTCCCTATAATTCCTAACGTAACACGAGGCACATAGTAAGCATTCACGTGGTCTCTGATTCACTGGTTGATACAGTTAGTTAATACACACACACACACACACACACACACACACACACACACACACACTGAGACTCAGTTCCTACTTTCTGTCATACATTTCTACAGCCCTGGTGAGAGAGTACACAAATGCAGAGAACAGACGTGGCCAGGGAGTGTTCGTGTAGAAGTTACATATACAGAACATATATGGTCAGAGAACACATGCAAAGGGCACACATTGGGTAAACATGTAGCTTGGTTATAGGAGCACATGTGAGGAAGAGACACACAAAGCTGGAATAATTCATACCTTTGATGATGCAGAACCATCAATTTCTTCTTATGATATCATCATGTTATTCTCTGCTGCTCCTCTTGGGGTGTTATAGCTTCTTTGCTGGGCATTGTGTCATTTCTGCTTCATGGCTCTACTAGTTTTAGGCTGGGGTATTTGCTGGGCTGCTTTCTGCTGCCATCTGCTGGTATTCAGTTATTCAGCCTCTTGGGGCCATTACCAGCTCTGTGTTACTTTTAGCTAGGGTTGCAACTCTTGGTAACTTTAATGTTTAAAACAGGGTTAAAAAATCTGTAAATTTGCATAGCTCTGATCTGAACCCAGCTAGAGAACCAGAAAAAATCTGAAGTACAAATATCAAATCTTACTATTCTTTTCTCTTCTCTAACTGATGCTCGAAAGTCCCTGGTCCCCAGCAATTATCTGAGTTTGGATTAGAAATTCCTTAGAGCTCTTTTCAAATCCCTATTTTTTCAGTCGGTATCTGTTTCAACAATTTTAGGACTTCATTCAACAAACCCAAATAATTGTGTAGGCCAAGGATGATGAGGCTCAAAGACTCATAATGTCCCTGGATACCATATAAATAATACAGGGGCAAGAATAAAACGGGTAGGTCAATAATTTCTGCCTTAAAAATATTTGCCAGCAACAAAATAGCTATATTTTGTTTAGAATTTAGTCAATGGACAAATCCAGTTGGTTTTCCTTTATCTCATTTGAATTACACAGCAACTGGAGAGGTCAGGGAATGTGTAAAGGGAAGTAGGTTAGAGGGAATAGAGCCCTTGGAAAGTTCTGCTTGGAGGTCAGGAACCTGGGCCGTTGTTCTCCAAGTCTGTAGTTCATTGGGGCGTGTTTCTCTTATCCATTCTTTGGATTATGCATCTTTTTCTTCTATCATATCTTCTTTTTGTCCCTCTTCAGAATTACTGATTTCACCCTCTTCAGAATTACCTCTGATTTCTCCCTGACTGTTAATCTTAATTTTGTTTCTATCATAACTATGTTTCAAAGAATTATTGTTTGATTCTATCTCACGAGGTCCTTGTTTCCATTTTGCTATATTTGCAGTCATCTTCTTCCTGGTTGCCTGTCAGATTTTTGCTAACAAGTCCTGAACATGACTGATGTATTTACATTGTTGCCATCTAGTGGTGAGTCCTGTACCATTTCTCTATCTTTTGCTCTTTATTTCAGTAAATAGAATCTGTTCCTTATTCTATGTTTCAACACATGAACGTAATCATTTAATGATGTACATGAAATTTATCCATAAAAAGTAGAATGAAGAGATTGCAGCAAATAAAATCAGAAAGCTATCTTTATTCTGTGAATAAATTTCATACTGATAATTATATTATAATAAGTGATTTATGTAGCACTTTAAAAGTTTGCAAAGCACTTTACATAAACTGTCTCATTTAAGCCTCAGAACAACTCTGTGAAATAGATACTGTAGGTATTTATGACTGTGAAGAATACTGTGCGGAGAATGTTGTGTAACTCTTGGACTTTTCAATTAAAGGACTCCAGAGTCTATTATCTAAAGAATTCTTATTCGCTACATTAGAGAACAAAAATGTATTACAATATTGATCCTCAAATTACCTTATTTTATACCTACAAATGTACATATTCTATCCCTATAATAAAATGTATGCTTCTTGAGACAGGAATTTTCTCTTTTTGTTTTCCAATGTAATTTTCCTAAAATGAAGGTCCGACTGTGTCTTTCCCTTTCCTGAGGTATTCCAATCACTCCCTATTACTTCTAAGATCAGATATAAAATCCTCTGGCTTTTACAATCAAGGACTATCTTTTTTTAAATTTGTATTTGTATCCCCATGCTTACCAGGATACCTGGAACATAATAGGTGCACAATTAATTTTTATTCACTGACTGAACATATTTGACAGTATATGTTTAATTTCACTGCTGAACTGAAATGAAGTTCATTACTACAGAGTTTATTTCATCAAGCAGTCCTTTGGAGTCAAAACTGGTCATTTAATTTAACTCTTCCTTGCAGGAAAAAAATGCAGTCAGCTGAAATAAACAAATTGGCTGTATCTGAAAATACGCATTTGACAATTACCTTCCTCTCTTGAGAGATCCAAAGCATGTGTCACCTTAGTCCTCTGAAGTTTCTTTTTTAAAAATCCTTTTCATTGTGTGAATGTGAGATAAAAAAAGCTCATAGTTGTTTTGATTGGCATTTCTCTGATTAATTAAATAATATTTTAAATGTACTACAAGAAGAGGCTATTTGATGTAAACCTATGGTGAATTACTTTTTAAAGTAAAAAAGAAAACTCTTTTGTAAAGGGAGTAATGAATACTTATTTGTTTTGTTAAAGTTTTTTTTTTTAAATGTTGACTTTTCTTAAATAGAGACATACCTGCCATTGGCATTTTTGAAAGGAGAGAGACAATAAATACCTAATATCACAGAGCAATAGCAGGACGGGCAAGAAAATCAAAGTGTTTTAATTGTTACCTTGATGCTTTAATGAATCTGTGATCTCATCAGTGTGGGTGCTCTTACATGTGCACAAGCTATCCTTGCCTCCTCATCCTCTACGGTTCTTGTACATGTCTTCCCATAAATCCCTACAAAGAGGATCTCTCCACTGTGTTGGAGGCCTTTCTCTAGGTCTTTTAGTAATTTGTGGATACCAGTGCCATACTCAGTCTAGCCATCTGTTAACTCCTCACTCTTGCTACATAAATCATTAAATCAATCAAAACCTGCTTGGTAAATTTTTCTGCCAGAATGGTCATTCACTGAGAAGTATATAGAACTGCCAAATACTTGATCAGATTTAGAGTGTTTTTTCTCTGGTTGTTTCAGGCATCTTACCAACCAAATTGTATCAGGTGTTTAGTGATGAGATACATTCATAACTCAAAGATTGACCTGCAAATGCTCCATTCATTTGAGTATAAAAACATAGCCACAGAGTTTAGCCTAGTGGACTCTATAATGTGCCACTCATCGACTATTCAAAGGCAAATTTTCAGGATGATTTCTCCTTTCTAAGCGATGATCAGTGGCTTCAGGATTAATATGATAGTGCTGTCATAATAAATGACTAGGTCTGCAGCCAGGCAGCTGGAATAGTATCTCCATATCAGGAGCCAATGGGTAGGAATCATTCTAAAGAGAAAGGCTTTTGATTATTAAAGGGACTGTTTTGTCAATCTCAATGATTCCTATTATGGTCTTGTCACCTCTTGAGCAGCCCAAGAACATCTGCCTGTCACTCAGTTGATTTTCACCCCATTAAAAGTTGCAAAACCTGGAAGACTGTCAAATATTCTCTCCTCTCTCTTCTCCCCCCCCCAACTGGAAATAAAATCCCGGGGGGAATTTTATCGCATGACAGGCGTATATATGAATTGTGTATTTTGGACAGCTATTATCAATAACAAATAAAATTCTTGGTGCAAATATCAAAACCCAAAGTTGTTTTTTTAAAGCAACAAATGCATACTGCCTCCATGTTATTGAATAAACATGAATTGAGATTTTTAAGTGGTGTTTCACTACAATTATTAATATAATTATTTCTACAGATGTCAATAATGTTATCTGTTCCTGTTTTACCAGTGAATTCAGAATAGTTTTCATGTGGTTAGAAGTATACAGATCTCAGTATTCTGATAAGGGTGTAGGAGTATTGACTCTAGAAATCCAGAATTGTAGAAGTTTAGGAAGTTCTATATGTAGAAAAATCTGGAGTACCTAGGATAAAGATAGAGACAAGAAGGGAGTTAAGGTGAGTGAGTAGCATGACCTGAGAATAAGAATATAACATTTCCCCACGGGACAGTGGACTGCTGAGCATACGTCTAACTAGTGTCTCTTCTTAATTCATTAATTCAATTCATTAGTTACCTACTATGCACATAGTGCTCTACTAGTGTGTGTTGGGGTGGAGTGTGGGAGGGAGAGATGAAATTCCTGCTCCTACGGAACTTAAAATTTAGTGGGAGATCCAACTCATTCAAAAATAATTATAAAATAAAGTAGAAAATGTTTTGTGCAAGTAAAGATAATTTAAAAAAAGCCCCAAAACTTCTGAATGAGTAATGAGGAAGAATCTTGGAAGATTTCATGCAACAGGGGTCATTTGAGATAGCTTTTAAAGGCTGAAAATATTTTCAACAAGTAAGGATGAGGTGAAGAGCATTCTAAGTATAGGAAATTGGAAAAAGGCATAGATACTAGAGAATGTTATATGAATAAAGGGAAGAGAAATAAGGCCAATATAGTTAAGAGTGTAGGGAGTAGTGTGAGATAAGGCTGGATAAATGATCTTCCTAAAGTACTAGCTTGACCATTTCACTTCCCTCCCCTTCATCCCCCCCAATAAACTTCAGTGGCTTCCTGTTAATTCCATGACCAAAAGTTAAATTGTCTCTTTGTCTTTTGAAGCCCTTCATTGGGGCAGCTAGGTGGTGCGGTGGATAGAGCACCAGCTCTGAAGTCAGGAGGACCTGAGTTCAAATCCAGCCTCAGACCAAACACACAACACTTACTAGCTGTGTGACCCTGGGCAAGTCACTTAACCCTAATTGCCTTAAAAAAAAAGTCCTTCATCAGCTAGTCCTTTTCTATGTTTTCAGTTTTATACTTTCATTCCCTTTATATTCTTTATGATCCAATGACATTGGCCTTGCTGTTTTTCCTAACTCAACACTTCATCTCCTGACTTTTTTTTTTCATTAGCTGTCTACTCTATATCGAATACTCTCTTTCCTTACTCTCTCCTCCTGGCTGTCCTGGCTGCCTTCAAGACTTAGCTTAAATCTTACCTTCTATATCAGGGAAGCCTTTCCTGATTCTCTATCCTTAAGCAAGTTCTTAATAAATGCTACTGATGATGATTAGTGTGGTAGTGTCAGAATGTGGAAGACTTTGAATTCTAGTCAAGGAGCTCAGACTTTCATAGGCTTATAGGATCTAGCTACTGAAGGGACCTTAAAGATGCTCTAATCCATCCCTAAACACCCTGACCCATTTTTTGTACAGATGAGGAAACTGAGATGCAGAGAGATGAAACTACTTGCACAAAATCACACAGGTAGTATCAAGGCCAGGATTCCAACACAGGTCTTTTGAATCTGAATTCAGTGGTCTTTCTTCTATACCATGGTTTTATTAAGTGGGTATTGAGGGTCATTTCAGGACTATCAGCAGAGCAGGCAAGAGACTATAAGAGTAGGTCAGAGGACAGTGTAGAGCTCACAATATGGGCACAGAGCAGGTTAAGTGTTCATGAAGGAGGAGCCTGAGATGTGAGAGTAGAGGAAGTTATAGTCATAAAAGAAAATCTCAAAGTTTCTGTGAGATGGTAAAGTTTGGTCATGCAGACATGTGGCTGAAATGGGATAGAATTGAGCTATTTGAAGAATTAGGTGGAGAAGGTAGGAGAGGAGTTATCAACATGAATATTGAAGCCTCTCAGGCTGATGGGACAGAACAGAACAGAGGAAAGACCTTGAGCCAGGCACCAAATTTCACTGGAAAAAATCACCAAGCCAAACTGATTCCATTCACTATATAGTTATGGTGCTAATACTCATCTACTCAGCTGGGCCTTTAAGGCTACTTGGAAGTCTTTCCTTTATTCTACTCTTATTGGTTACTTCTCACGTTCCTCACATTCACTGCCCAGTAAGAGGGGCAGGGGGGCAATGCTCATGTATGCGGCAAGGGTAAACAACAGCCAAGGCAGATGTGTGTGTACAGGAGAACTCCTCTCCTATTCTAACCCCGCTTCTTTTATGCTCCCAACAATTAAGTCAACAAGTATTTGTTAAATAGTTTCTATGTGCTATGACAATTAGAGGGTGCAGTAGATAGAGTGCTGGGTCTGGAGTCAGGAAGACCTGAGTTCAAATCTGTCCTTTAGCACTATAATCTTGGGCAAGTCACTTAACCACTGTCTGCCTCAGTTTCTTCAGCTGTAAAATGAGTATGATAATAGCACCTACCTTCCAGGTTGTTGTGAGGATCAAATGAAATATTTGTAGAGTGCTTAGTACAGTGCCTGACACATAGTAAATTGAAATTGAAATTTACTATCCATATTAAATTGTCTCTTTGTCTTTTGAAGCCCTTCATTGGGGCAGCTAGGTGGTGC